ACACTGAAAGTAATTAAATAACTTACTTGATTTAATTTCTTTGAATTATAATCTGATCAAGTTCAGTGTTTGACACTGTGTCCTTAAGACAGATTCGTCCTCTATAGCAACTTTCGGTACAACTGTCATTACATTCAACTTATAGAGACCATCACTCATGTATCCCTTACCAACATACATACCACTCTTTGTTAATACAAATTTATCAGACTCAAATACAAGCCTAAAACCATTTTTACTTAACAAAGACCCAGAAACTAAATTCTTCCGGATGTCAGGTACATGCAGTACGTTGTTGAGGGTCAGTTCTTTCCCTGATGTCATCTTCAAGATAACTTTTCCTTGTCCAGCCACAGTAGAAGTAGAAGAATTTCCCATGAAAAGTTGTTCCCCATTTGCAGCCTCATTGTAGGTAGTGAACATCTTCTTGTCCGCACATATGTGACGAGTTGCTCCAGTGTCAACCCACCACTCTTTGGGATTTCCAACCAAGTTAGCCTCAGACACTACAGCAGAAAGGTTGATGTCATTCACTCCGTCAGAGATGTAATCCAATTTTGTTACATTGGCCTGATTGGTGGTCTTCTTACTTGTACTTCCATGATCCTTCTTAGGGCGGCGGTACTCAGAAGCTCGATGTCCAGTTTTGCCACAGTTATAGCATTTTCCTTTGAACTTCTTGCTGCTATCGCCTTGTTTAGGACCATCTCCAGTAAACTTCCTCTTTTTGTTATGTGGTTTATGAACTTGTTCAACCACATTAGCCTTAGACTCAATGGGATTTTTCCCATTCCTCTTTTCAGCCTTTCGGTTATCTTCCTCAATTCTTAATCTTACAATCAATTCATCCATAATCATCTCTTTGCGTTTGTATTTTAAATAATTTTTAAAATCTTTCCAAGCCGGTGGTAACTTTTCCACTAAAGCAGCGACTTGGAATGACTCGCTAAGAGACATACCTTGTGAATGAATATCAGCAAAATTATTTGAAAACTTTGAACTTGAGATATTACCGTTTGGGAGTCTACCATAACAAAGTCCAGAAATTTACCGACGACAAATTTCTTCGTGCCGGCATCTTCTGTCTTGTATTTCTTCTCCAAAGAATCCCACAATTCTTTTGCTGTTTTCAGAGGACTGTATACATTATACAGCATATTGTCAAGGCCATTTAGGATGTAGATTCTGCACAGGAAATCTGAATGTTTCCAAGCATCTACAGCGGCAACAACTTGCCGATCACTTTCACCCTCTTTAAGTGCTGGAGCCTCTTCATGGAGAAACCGGGCCAAATTAAGAGTCGTAAGATAGAACGACATCTTCTGCTGCCATCTCTTAAACTGGGTACCATTAAATTTTTTCGATTTTTCTCCATGATTGATTGGTACATGAACATGGTTCTGAATAGGGACCGATGTAGGTGTAACAATAGGAGTACCACTGCCAGATGCAGTTTCAGTTGTAGTAGCCATAATCTCTGATTACAAAAATCAGAAAAAATTAAAACACAAATTAATTTTCTAGTTACTAAAACCAGAAAATAATTATAACAACAAAATAATTTTATTTTCCTTGTTACTAAAACTAGAAAAATAAAATATCACAAGAATTTTCTGTAATACCAAATAATAAATAATATTCTGCAATTGTTAATGACACCAGTATATTACTACTAGTTGTCAAAGAAAAGAGACAATATATTACTACTATCTGTCAAATAGCATAAATCACTATTTGTTTTTCCAATCAGAGTATTAGTTTGAAAACACAGAAAATTAAATACAATGAAGATACCAAAAAAGGAATCTGTCTTAAGATTGTAGGACAATCTTCACTGTATTTAAATAAGTTAAATTCTGTTGTGTACAAAACAACAACAAGAATATAAAGAAATAAGAAAAGGAGAGAATATGTTTGATTACAAAAATCAAACTCGAAATAAAAATAAATAAATAAAAAACAAAACAGATTTTATTTTGTTACAAAAACAAAATTAAAATCCTGATTAAATAAACAAATAAAAACAAAATAAAATTAAACAACTTACTTGGTTAATTTATTTGAATAACTTTTCTGATCAAGTCCAGTGTTTAACACTGTGTCCTTAAGACAGATTCGTCCTCTCCACGGTACTTTCAGAATTTGGACGTCTATCTCCCAGGATGAAATGATCTACCACAAACAATAGCAGCACTACAAATTGTTTGCCTTACGAACACACTAAGTGTTTACACTCAATGCCTATCGGCGAAACCATACATGTTGATGGGTCTAGGCTGGCACAAGGGAATGGCATGTGAGTGTTTTCAAATCCTATGTTTGAACCCATGTCTGGCACACGAGTATTCACCAATCCTATGTTCGAATTCACACCTGGGGAGTTAGAAGGAATTGCTGCGATTAGATAAAAACGGGAAGGGCTCTGTTTGGATGAGTAATAAATCCAAACCAGTTTAATTCTGTTTGAAAACGGGAAGGGCCCTGTTTGGATGTACAGAAAATCCAAATCAGTTTAATTTGGATTCTGGATTTTATTTTACCAAAAAATAAAATTAAATTCAAATGTTTTTGGTCCCAAAAGATTAGAAGCCCAACCACGCACCCGCGCCCAAGCCTAGGCTGCCCGATTAGACCGACGGAGGCGGCGCGCGCATGTGGTGATTTTTTGGTCCAATGGGTCTAGCCCATTTTGCCCATAACCTCTTCCTCTAAAACACTTGGGTACCCCTTGGGGCACACCCCAAGTATCTAACCCAAGCTTTATAAACCCTTTCAAAACTTCTCACCAAATCAGTGTGGGACAAGCCAATTTACAATCTTAAGGAATTTCCATCAAAACTCCATTTCCATGGAGCACACTTTGACTTCAATTTCCCATTCACTCGGTAATGGTTTTGAGCAACCAAATATACCACGTGAATCACAACGCGGCATAGAACGCGTTACCACTTTGACCCGAGTAAATCGACACTCGGGGCCCACCTAAAAAATAGACCAAACTTGAGAAAAAATTCTGATTTTACCCAGAATTTTTCTACCATTTCCAAGATATAGTGGCACATTTTCTCGCGTTTTATTTCCTTGGAATGCAATTGATTTCGTTTTTCTAGGATAGAGAAAGATATACCTAATAATTTGTTTTATAATTTGGTATTGTATTTTTGAATACCTGATATTAAAACTTTTTTCATTTTAAAAATAAAAATTTTGTTTCAACAAAAAATTTAAGAGATCAATTCTAGTTGTTATGAAAAGACTGTCCCAAGAGGAAATATTTAAAAAATATTAGTGACAATATTTAAAAAATATTACTAATAAATATGCTTTTAAGGGCAACAACCAAAAAAAAAAGGGGGGAACAATTCCATGTTAAAAATTTTACATTTTAAAACAAAAAATTTGATGATAATAATTCAATGTTGCTAATAAAAATTCACTTTTAAAATTCAATACATTACAACAGATAATAATTCAATGTTGCTAATAAAAATTCACTTTTAAAATTCAATACATTACAACATATCATATGTTGACTTGGTGAGTAGCCTACATCAAGAGCTAAAGATCTAATTTCCATCCATTTTGGTGGCATGTACAATATTAGTCTTTGTCCATTGGCTCTATCAATTTATTTCTTTCCACAAATTTAAGATCTAAACACATTTAATACTGAAAATGAACAACATTTAAACCATAGTGCCACTAAAAATTGGTAAAGAATTCTCTACTATGCATTTTTGCGCAATGATTTTGATGTGTTTTTTAGTACACGTATTAGCAAAATAAACAATTTAAACAACTAGAGTTTAAAAAAGAATTATATTAAATGATATCAAAATATTGCATTTTTTTTAAACCACATAACTTAATAAATGACATAATTTTGTTTACTCGTTGTTTTTCAAATTAAACCATTAAATTACCAAAATAAAACCATTGTAGAGAGATCTGTAGTAGAAAATCTTAATTTTTAAGAGTTTGAATGCCTTCTTAAATGTAGAGTCTTAGAACTTCTCGAGTAAGTCTTACCCACTCGTTAATGTCAACAACTAGTTGACATTGATCAGGTAACACATTTTTTGTTCAATTTTAACCAATAATGGAGTTGTAAAAACTTAAACGTGTAGAAGTTTTTGTCAATTGTTGAGAAAATTAGGTCCTATTGTTTTTTTTGTGAAAAATTACAAATCAACCTATTTGACAAAAAATATTTACAAAAACATGGAGGTGCAACTCTTCCTTTGTGTAAAGAAATATAGCAAAAATTACACTAAAAAAAGATTCTCACCTTTTGGTAAAGATTTTCCACACGTTTCACTGAATGATAGTTTTCTCCTTTTTTGTTGTTAACGTCCACTGGCGCACAATTTTAATACCTTCATTCAAGAACGGAAAACTCTAGTCATACATAAAATTCATACAAAACACTATATAAGAATGACGAGACGATACTGTTCTTATAAATAAATTATGTAAAATTTTTTGTTTGTATATTGTTTCTCAAATGTTAGTGGCTCCATGATCGAGGCACGGACTCTGTCAAGCCTTAATGGCTACTTATAACAGCAGTACCTCTAAACATTTGAGTGGGCAAAGAACAAGTTTGAAGATGGGCATGAAACCACATATTCTAGCCATACCTTATCCAGCACAAGGCCATGTAATTCCCTTGCTAGAGCTCATGCAATGGCTATCCAAACAAGGTTTCAAAGTTACCTTTGTGAACACAGAGTTCAATCACACAAGGGTCCTTAATTCACTCTCAAACAAACAGACTAGTACTTGTAGTACTAGTTCTGTAGTAGTGGATGATGATAATGTACATCTGGTTTAATCCCAGATGGGTTGGAACCATGGGAAGGCACGAATGATTTTAAGAAATTGATAGAAGCAATCTCTCTAGTCATGCCTGGGAAGCTTGAAGAGCTCATAAAGAAGATTAATAATGGATCGGACGAGGATGAGAAGATCAGTTGTGTTATTGCAGATGAGAACATAGGATGGGCACTGGTTGTTGCAGAGAAATGGGAATCAGGCGGGCGGCGTTTTGGCCTGCAGTAGCGGCGGTGCTGGCTTTGGAATTCAGCATTCCAGAGCTGTTGGGTGATGGGATCATTAACAACAATGGTAAGTTCAAATGAGGATCCTCTGTTCCACTATTTTTTGTCCTGTCTCCTTCTCTATCGTAGGTTTTATGGCTCGGACTCTCATCATGTGGTAGAGATAAGGCTTGGGGCAGAATGATAAAGGAGTGTGGGACAAAGGTTCCTCTTTGCTGAATTTTTTGCTACTAATGCGAACACATGTTGTAAGATCCTCCGTTCTAATTCTCCCCTTGTCTTTTTGTCTCAAACTCTCCTTTTATGACATGGCAAGTCTGTTAGACTAATTATGCAATAGAGAGACGATTTAGATCGACAGAGACCGAGACCAAGGATCTAGTCTCTAGCACATGCACAAATTTAGCAATTACTTACAAATTACGTTTCTAAAAATGAGGCCACGTGGAAATTCAAGAACTTGTTCTACTAATAACTAGATTTTGGAAAAAAGAAAATAATTTGCGAAACATAAATTTTATTCAAGAAACTTTATCAAAATATAACGTGGCAGTGACATTTTTAAAATAATGTCCATTCTTATTATATCATATATTATTGTCAATTTTTATTTTTTATTTTTTGGAAGGAACTCCAATAAAGAATCAGATGATTCAGCTATCACCAACCATGCCTGCAATTCACGCATCAAAGCTTGTATGGGCATGCATAAGGGACTTGGCTACAAACAAAGCTGTTTTCGAAATGGTTTCAAGAAACAAGAAGTCTGTGAAAGTCGCAAATTGGCTCATTTGCAATTCAGCTTTCGAGCTCAGGTCTGCAGCATTTTCCTTGTTCCCGTAAGAAATGGTTTTGGAAAAACAGATTTTTCCTCAACTTTGGCCTGTTTTTAAGGTGGGACCCATGCTGCGTTGTGATGGCGGGTCTAAGTGGTAATGTGTTCTATGCCGCGTTGTGATTCGCGTAGTATATTTGGTTACTCAAAACCATTATCAGGTGAATGGAAAATTGAAACCAAAGTAAGCTCCATGGAAATGGTATTCTTGGTGAAATTTCCATAAAGGTTGAATTAAAGCTTGTTCCACATTGGTTTAGTGGGCAAACTTTTGTGGGTTTATAAGGCTTGGGTTTGCAACTTGAGGAGAGCCCCAAGGGATACCCAAGTTTTGTGGAAGGGTGAGGTTATGAGCTAAATCCATTGGACCCAAAATAAACACACGCACGCTGCCATCCGTCCAGTAAGTCGGGCACAAGTGCGTGGTGTAAGGTTGGGTTGGGCTTGTCCAGTCCAATACTTATTTTTTTGGGGCAAAAAATATTTGAATTTAATTTATTTTTATTTTTTGGTAAAGTAAAATCTGTCCAGTTTTAATTTCAAATTTTGGTTGAAAAAATTCAAATTTTGCTTGCACCTCTTCAAACCTTCTGTACAGATTCATACCGGTCCAAACAGGTTCAAGTTCAAACCCATATCTGGTTATATTCAAATCAAACAGGTTCACACCCGTTGAGTTCAAAACCGAACAGATTTTCTATCTGTTCAACACTGTCCAAACAAGTACTATACCTGTTTGATTCAAATTTGAACATCCACATTTTCTCCTATAAATATAGACCCTCATTTGGATTTTGTATTCAAAAAATTCGTTCTTGCCTTTGCTATTACTCTATGCATTTTGCTGTATTAATTTTTCCTATGAGAAAGAGTATAAACGCAAAGTGCGTTCGCTGTGTGAATAGTTTATAGTGCTGTTACTATTCACTGTTAATCATTTTATCCTGGGAGATAGACGTCCACAATCTGAAAGCACCGTGAAGAGGACGAATCTGTCTTAAGGACACAGCGTTAAACACTGGACTTGATCAAAAATTTGTTCGACAAATAAATAAGGTAAGTAATAAATTTCCTTTCTGTTTTATTTTTATTTTTTTTATCAGATTCTGATTTTGTTTTTGTAACAAAATAAGAATCTGTTGTTTTATTTTATTTTTTATACTGTTTTGATTTTTGTAATCAAATAGTTTCTCTCATTTCTCTAATTCTTCGAATACAGTGAAGATTGTCCAACAGTTCCTAGACATCCTCCCCATAGGTCCACTTCTCTCAACGAACCACCATAAAAAATCAGCAGGCAGCTTCTAGGAAGAGGACTCAACCTGCTTGTAATGGCTCGATCAACAGTCACTGAATTCAATCATCTATGTTGCATTTGGGAGCTTCACTGTTTTTGACTATAACAAGTTTCAAGAACTGGCTTTGGGGATTGAACTAACCAATAGACCATTTTTATGGGTTGTGAGGCCTGATCTTAATCATGATCATGGAAAAGATCTTAATCATGATCATGCTTTTCCAAATGGGTTCAGAGACAGAGTAGGAAATCGGGGACAAATCATAGGTTAGGCAACTCAGCAGTAGGTAAAAATTAAACTATTATTGGTTGACAGTTACAAGATTAATATTGGTTTCTAACAGGCACCGAGTCACCCATCTGTAGCTTGCTTCTTGAGCCACTGTGGATGGAACTTCATCATCGAAGGAGTGAGCAATGGAGTTCCTTTCCTTTGTTGGCCTTACTTTGCTGACCAATTTTTAACCAGGCCAACATTTGTGATGTTTGGAAGGTTAGATTTGTTGGAAATTTCCTAAAAGTTTCAAAACTTTATTTGTATTTTATTTTATATTATTTTTTATTTGTATTTATTTATTTATATATTTCTTTTAACATCTTATTTGTTTGAATTTTAAATAAATGTTTGGTTTCAAAACAAAGAGTGTGTCTGTTCCCAACCGACATCAAAGAACCTATTTAAATAGGACTCTTACTCATGAAAAGAGATATAATGTTCTCTGTTTTCTCTCTTACTCAGGAAAAGATATATAATTGTTCTCTCTCTCTCTCTCTCTCTCTCTCTTTCCTCTTTACTGTATTTTTATATTCCATATTTCTGGGCAATTGAAACATTCTTGGCAAATTCTTCTGGTGCAACTATGCATCGTGTCAGGTCTTATAAAGTTTTGAGTTGTATCTTGGAGTCATTTGTGATCGTTAAAATCTGCACGGAGGGAACACATAACGACTTTTGGACAACGTCTTTGACGTACCTCTTACAATCACATAGGTTATTTTCTTATCCCTTTTTCTTCATCTTCTTCTTATTCTGTTAAATATATGTATATATAGTTTTCTTGAATTGTCAAAACTTATTTTCAAAATCTATTTTGTTTTAAAATTTTATTCTATAAAATTGATTTAAAATAATTATTATTCAATTCCCCTAACAATCTAAAGTCATTATATTTTTTTTTTATTAAAAAAAAGAAAGAATTATGACGTAGTAATCAAAACCATTCCCGTTGTTTTGTTGTTTTGTTTGATTTCTGAGAAACTACGTTCAGAAAAAAATATGTTTTGACGTATTTGACTTGGATTTTTTTTTGGAAAAGCAAATAGTTCACTAATTTGTTGATATTTTTGTTTTGGGTGGTATTTTATTATTAATATTATTTTATTAGTTTATTCAGGAGTTACAGAACTTGTTTAACTTGGGTGTTTATTTATTATTATTATTATTTATTTATTTTTGTAAAAAGAGAGAAAAGTTGTAAAGTAAGTTTTTATATGATAAATATGACATTATTTAAAAGTGTGTAGTTTTTCTTAGTTATAGCGCACTTCATACAATTCATGATATTTGATTAGTGTTATTTTGTTTAAATTTGATCTGTATCAAAACCTGTCACTTTTTGTCTATTCTTAAAAAGTTGGTAATTAAATTTACACTTTCAATAACATTAGCATTTGTTTTATTGCTATTACAGATTAAGCTACTCTTTTGTTCTCTTGTTCTTTAAATATTTAAAATGACTAATTTAGAAGAAACCGTTAGTGTGAAACCTGAAAAATGTAATGGAGAAAATTTTGAAAGATGGAAAAAACAAACAAAATATTGGTTGACCGTGTTGGGTCTTATGTCTGCCATAAAAGATCAGGGTTTTGTTGGATCTTGGTTGTCACCCGAACACATTGAATTTCATTGCTATAACAGAATCCTTAGTGTTTTGTCTGATCATTTGTATGATGTGTATCAGTCAACTAACTCGACTGTAAAAGAACTATGGAAAACCTTAGAGGCCAAATATGGAGCTGTAGATGTTCGTATTGATAAGTTTACTATCTCTAATTTTAATGGGTACAAAATGAAAGATGACAAACTTGTAGGACACCAAATACATGAGTTTCAAGAACTACTTAGAAAGGTAGAAAAGAAAGGGACAACTTTTAGTGAGGAGTTTAAAGTGTCTTGCCTTATCGATAAATTACCTTCATCTTGGAATAACTTTGCTAAGCATCTTAGGCACAAACAAGGAGATCTGTTATTAACTCACCTAATCAATACACTTTAGTGTTGAAGAAAAACATAGATCAAATCTAGAAACTGGAAAAGAGAAAACGCCTAAAGTGAATGTGGTAGAGAATGTGAATAAAAATAGTTTCAATAATAGGAATAACTTTCGACTTAAAGGTAAAATTTTCAAGAACAATCTTAAGTTTAAATCTAGAGGTCAAAATGGCAAACACCATAATAACAATTACCAAGCCAATACTAATAATTTTAAGGGACAATGGAGTGGCAAAAGGTTGTGCTATGTATGTGGAAAAACCAATCATTATGCTAAGTAAAAAACCTAAGTGATTCGTGATTCAGACTAGATTAATTGCAACAATATCCAAACAATTAAAACAGATAATCTAAATCATCTAGCACATACAAAAGTGATTTAAATTGTTGCTTCAAAATCAATAAATCAACATAATAGATTTTTACGTGGAAAAATCACAATTGGAGCACCTCTAATTGTGATTAAAAGCCACGGGCTAAATGCCACTAATCAATCCACTATGAAAGAAAGAAAGAATACAAATTTACGAAATAAATTACCCAAACTCTGTCAATTTGTCTTCAACAATCTATATCTCTTTCACCGCAACCTTCGTCTTGGAATTGATCAAATTGATATTGAATCCACAACATCCATGTCGAATCAATGACTGCACACAACTTCGAACTCCTTCGAATACTCCACGCTTGAATCTTCGAATTCCACCGAAGAAGAACACTCTTGAAATAGAACACTCAAACAATCAAACTCTTTGATGTATGCTTGTCAAACCATGTGAGTTTTAATACTCAATCAAACATCAAAGAAAACTAGCAAAATAGCCATAGAAGAAAACCCTAAAACCCTTAAAGAAGATATGGAAGCATTAACCCTAAAAATGGACTGAAATAGATATTTATAGAAAACAGGGGCGCGATCCTCGCTCGAGCGCAGGACGCCGCTCGAGCGGTGTCACTAAAACACGTGTAGCTGGACAAGGTCTATGCTCGAGCATTGGACCTTACGTTCGAGTGTAAAATCACACCTCCTAATAGTTTTATAAACAAGCCAAACTTCTGAGAGTATGCAAACTCCGCTCGAGCACAGCTTGTCCCGCTTGAGCGAGAAGACCAAAAAATAAGGAAAAACTACAACTCAATTAAACTAAGCTTGTTCGCGGAATTGGCAACAAGTAGGGACCTAACAATCTCCCCATTCACCAATTCCCGAACAAAAACTTTCTAACAATTGTTCCTAACAAACACACGCACTAGACACGCTACCTAACAAAACAAAAGGCTACAAATCAACCCTTATTGACAAACCAGTTACCAAATTACCTGTGCAAACACCACAAACCAAAATTATGGAAATTGGATAGTAAAACAGACATATAGTATATCCAAATCTAACTATTCCAAAATATAACCAATTTATCAAAGTAAAAGACAAGGCAATGTGTGTGTATCCAGCAACCAACAAAAGAGTGTGTTGTCCAAGTCCAACCTTCTCCAAAAACCAATACTCCCCCTTTTTTGACCGGGAGACAACAACAAAAAAAAAAAACAAGAATTAGATACCCCAGATAACAAAAAAGAAACAACCCAATGAGAGGAAAAAAAATACCGTCCAAAAGAGAGAACAAAATCAATGGTCTGTGTAGACATCCTCGAACGTCCCGGGAGGGAATCCTGTTTTGTTCGTTTGGGCTCACTATAGTTCACTCAAATGTCACGGTCCTGTATCTAATCTCGCAGAGTGCAATGCAAGACTGATGAATCATCAAAGAGTCCAAATCCGGTAAATCGTTTTTGAAAATAGATTTTTTTGAAAGAAGTGCCAAACATGGACTACTTTGCCAGATACAGAGTCGCCACCTAAATATTTTATTTTGGAGAATTTAGGAAACCCTGACTCGTTTTCCTAAGGCCACGTGTCTGTCATCACCAAAGTTGCCTTGGCTCGGGAACTTGGGTACGATTGGGGAAGGTCACTTCGTGAGCACCCCCGCTCGCCCGATCAAAGATCGGCCTCTACTAACCATGATATCGAGTTTTGAAAACATTATGTGCTCTTATTCCGGTTATTAGCCCACAATATACAAGTATAGACTGGATTTCCTGAATTGGAATAACACATCTCATGTTTGTTTATTTTGAAAATGGTTTGATGGTGCTACCCGCAAGTAAGCTATGACGTGGATTTGCCACCGTCGGGTGGGCTTAGAAAACGTGATGGTTTGCCACTCTCAAGTGGGCTTAAAACTCACAGTCAATGCATTATTCCAATTCAGATAATCCAACCTTCACCCACAGACATTCAGGCAGGTATATCACATAAGCACATAGCCTCATGGTAAGCATGCTATCATGACAGTCACTCACACACATGCAAGGATGCTAAAGCATAAACACTTACCGAGTACTCCAAGCCAAAACAGAAGTTATGTTAGAAATCCATACATGATCCTAACTATGCTGAAATGCCTAATCCAACACATGCAGAAATGCAACTACAATAGGCTCGACTATTCTAAAGGTGGCATGTGAAATGCTACAACTAACAAGTATTCGACTCGGAATTGAAATACAATGCAGTTAATATGATGCGCCGAGCCCGGTGCATACAATACAGATGAATGATGCAAACATGCGAGCATAAGTATGCTAATTGAAAGATACCCTAAACTAACCATCATAAGCTGGTAAATAAAAGGGAGAAAGACGTGGGGTTGGAAGACATGCATCACACACACGCACACTTATTACAACAATTGGCCCTCTCTCAGAGGGTCCAGATAAATAACACAAACTGAATAAATAATTAACTACCCTAGCTAATTAAATATTACAAAACTGTAATCACTTAATAAATTAATTACAAAAGTAGATCGCCTCGCTCGAAAACCCGTTGCCATACCACTGTTGCCTTTGTTTGCACTGTTTTGCACCTCTAAGCATTGTGAAAATATTCTTGATGCTTCTGAACCACTCCCTGATCACTCTGGGATGCCACCGGCCAAGGTAAAGATCCATCGGCCATTGATAAATTGTCATCGACCAGTTGTGAAGCCATCGGCCAGATATTTTTGGTCGGTCAGTCGGCACTGTATGTAGTCGGTCGGCCAAATATTCCTGCAGAATCCTGTTTTGACAGCAGCAGAGGACAGACAGTGCATGGCAAGGAAATTTCAAAGCAATGTGTGCATGGCCACTTTCCCTATCATTCTATAGACTCAAGGGAATGTAGCCCTCGGCCTCTCGGGC